ATTTCAGGCGTCAGCCGGTGGTTTCCCTTTAACCACCGGGTTTGTCGAGTCCTTCGATTTTTGCCCTTCCTCAGGGCACGTTTCCGAGGGCAACGGCCTATGCACCCCGTTCAAAGATGGGTTCCCCATATCTGGATCCTCGCGAGCTAAGAACGCGTGCTTGTGTATACGAAACCCTCTGAAAAGGCTGTGTTTGATCTTCTTTTTTACTCCGAGTGCCTTGGTAATTCGTTGAGTGATCTTCCTTGGCGGTTTGGGCCTCCTCCTAGGCCCGCCTCTCGGCCCATTCTGCATACTGGGCTTCGGCCCAACCACAAACTCCTTTAGGGGAAAAATAATATCAGCCTCATCTATCTGGGCTTTGAGGCCCAAAGATATATGAACTGGGCTATTGAAATCATTAGGCCCATCTCTCTTCTTCTCCCCTCCACTGCCCGATGTGTTGGATTTCTCCTCCGGCGCTCGAGCCACCACCTTCCCAGGGTTCCGACGAGGGGAGACCACCACCTCCGGCTGCTTCTCCATCGGTTCTGACCTCGGGACGGTCCCATTTACATGCTCCTAGACGCGAACATGTTCATTAGTCTGCTTGACAGTCACCGCCTCCTCCTCCGACCTTTGATACCACCCAGCCCTGCCTCCGTCCGTCATCTTCTCCAGCAGCTGCTCCTCTCCGGGTCTCTTCGCCGTAGTTCCCACTGCTGCCAGATTCTCCTCGCTCTTATCGAACACCTTCTTTACCTATTCTTTCGTAGAGGATTTCTCAGCCTTCCTCTCCTCGGCCGGCTCTCGAGCCTCTCGTAATTCTGAAAGCAAGTCTCTCCTTACCGATTTATTCTTAGATGTAGAGGCCATATCCATCAATTTAGGATCCTCATTTCTCGTATTTCCGTCATAGTGTTGTTCCGGTTTGGCTGTCTCTGCTCTCGGAGCTTTTTTCCTCCGTCGGTCTTCCTTCGCATCTCGGCGCTGGTTCAAGTCCCTGTGAGAGTCTCGTTGCTGCTTCTGGGCTCCGACTCGCTCAGGGCATACTCGAGTGTCATGGGACAGCCTTTGACATCTCTTGCAAAAGTTTTGGATCTTCAAATACTCAAATCGAATCACAATAAGTTCTTCAGTATCAGAGATCGTCTCCCTCCGTCGGATCAACGGAGCATCACATTGCACCATCACCCGAACCAATGGGTATGGTTCAATAACCTTCCAATCCATCAACTCTCCGAGATCTTTACCAATGCTATTCACCGTTCTTTCATAACAATGTTGATCCATAAGATCTCTGATTTCGATCCAAAACGGGATTGAGACCGGGAAGTCCGGCCGCACTGTTGGAACCCATCTTTCAATGGCGTTCATCCACTCATCAAAGTGATATGGGCGATTCTCCATCACGTATTGCAGATCGGATTCCTCCTTGAAACGAAAGTGAAACTTCCCCCTTTCCATCTCCACGCCTTGAACACGACCCTCACACTTCCACACCAATGGTAAAAAGGCGATCAAAGCCTTCACCCTACGCTCCTGAGCCTCCAAATTGAGAACACGCCCCACTACTGTTTTTTCAAACTTCTTCATCACGAGTTCTTTGTCAATTGGGGGAAGTTGCAGAGAAGCAGGGTTCTTCCTCTCGTGCTCAGAACCGATCAATTTGCCTAAGAAAGCCATCGGAAAGGAATGAAATCGCAAGCTGCTATAGAAATTACCAGAAAGGATTGAGATTTCTGTGAGTGACCAAGGTAGGAGTAACTCCCGATTGTAAACCGAATGAAATCCCTTAATCATCGTATCCAATCCAGTCTGATTGATTATCTTTGATGAGGGAGATACCAAAACCAGAACATTCAGATCTCGGATTTGGTTTCTGCATTAACTGGTCCGCGTAAACAAAGGAAGCTTTGCCCACCCTACTCTCTGTTTCCTTATGCAATCGACGGCGGACCGTATTGAGTAGAGAATCCGAACCGGATCCGGTAGTGTCGAAACTGCGATCTGCAACCGAGTTAATCGACCCCGAAAGCTTGAGAACAATTTCACCAAGATGGAAAGACGCAGCATCGGGGAGATGCCGAAGGTATTGCGGCTGATCTCCGGCTTGCTTCCATGCCCGGAGAAGCGAGCGCTGGCGTAACATCGATTTTTCCATTGGTGTGAGTCTCTTAAATAAAGTATCTAGTTT